AAAGAGAGAGAGAGAGAGAGAGAGAGAGAGAGAGAGAGAGAGAGAGAGAGAGAGAGAGAAAGAAAGAAGGAAGGAAGGAAAGAAAAGCTGATTGTGGTGGCCTGTGCCTGCTCCCAACCATTGTGTTTCAGAAGTGCTAGGTTTACAGATAAGTAAGATCTTTTTTTTAGTATTTATTTATTTATTATGTATGCAGTGCTCTGTCAACATGTATCTCTGCAGGCCAGAATTGGGCACCAGATATCATTACAGATGGTTGTGAGCCACCATGTGGTTGCTGGGAATTGAACTCAGGACCTCTGGAAGAGCAGCCAGTGCTCTTAACCTCTGAGCCATCTCTCCAGCCCCCTAGGTTTACAGTTAAGAACCACCGCATCCAGCTGGCTTTTCCCACGGGTCCTGAGGATTAAACTGAGGTCCTCAGGCTTGAGATACAAACCCTCTGAACCACTGAGCTATCTCTTTGACTCACAGGTATAGCCCAGCCAGGCCTTGAACTCAGAACCTCTATTTTCTGAATCACCAATTCCTGCCACTACATATGCCACTACAACTAGGAAGAGATTTTAAAACTAGCATCAAGCCTGCCCAGAATGTGGACAATGTTCCATCTGGTCATTGTCCACTCAACCCTTGAGAGCGTGTCCAACTTCTACATTACATTCTTATGTGTCTCCAAAATTCTCCCAGAGATCACAACAGCGAGGCAAGATCTCAATGGTTCCTTTTTTCTTGGTTCTACATAAAAAGTGCCGGGCCAGCCAGAGCTTTTTCGTGAGACCTGGTCTCAAAACAACAAAATATCCTACACTTATGAAGGGAGGCATGGCCAGGTGTGGTTGCCCACATCCATAGTCCCAACACTTAGGAAACTGAGGCAGGAGGATCATGAGTTTGAAGTCAGCCTGGCTACACATAGAGTACGATACTTGGTCTGAGGAAACATTCAATAGGGTAACAATTTTCATTTGGCTTCTGGCACCTACCAGCTAAACACTGCTTATTAGAATATACTGAAGGCCACGGTTTGCACTGACCTCCTACACTGACTGACCAACAAGACAGAATTATTCATATTGAAATTCTACACCATCAAACTAAAACCTAATTGTTTATCTAATATTCTGAATAATCAGGAGAGGAAGACAATAGCCAAATCTCCAGCCTGGCCAGTTTTAGCTGTAGATCCCTCTGGTTTGACTTTTTTAAGGAAAGTAACTTTCAAACAATGTATCAGGGTTTTGTTCTGTTTCTCTGCCTTCCCAATCTCTTTAACTCAAGACACTGATTGCAGCCGGGCGATGGTGGCGCACACCTTTAATCCCAGCACTCAGGAGGCAGAGGCAGGCGGATCTCTGTGAGTTCGAGACCAGCCTGGTCTACAGAGCTAGTTCCAAGACAGCCTCCAAAGCCACAGAGAAACCCTGTCTCGAAAAACCAAAAACCAAACAAACAAACAAAAAAAGACACTGGTTGCCCTGGGACTGGCAATATAGACCAGGATAGCCACAGATGCAGAGATCTGCCTGCCTCTTCCACTTGGACATTCTGGTTAGGGACCAGCAACGGTCCACACTCAGCCTTGAGCCCTCCCTCTCCCGCCCTGCGTTTTCTATTGTTTTGAGACAGGGTCTTAACGTATCAAAGGCAGGGCTAGAATTTACAGTGGACCCAAAGATGGCCTCCTGTCTTGCCTCCAGAGTGCTGGGACTACAGGCCTGTACCACCACACTAGGATGATGTGGATCTCTGAGGTTGATTTTACTCTAGGTCCAGACAGGCTTCAAACCATGTCAGTCCTCCTGGCTCAACTTGCTGCTTCCAGCTTGGATCATGAATGTATTATTTATTTATTTAGCTGTCCTGGGAATCATACTCAGGTCTCTCTGTGCATGCTGAGCAAGTGCTATTCTGCTGAAGCATGTCCTCAGACCTAAGGAATCTTTTCAAGTAAACAATTTACATTTATTTATTTACTTGGCATGTGTGTTTGTGTATGCACGTGTCTAGGTGTTAGGGGAAGGCTTGCAGGATAGCTTAGTAGTTAAGAGCATATACTTTTCTTCCAGAAGACCTGAGTTCCAATCCCAAGACCCTTGTCAAGCAGCTCACAATTGACTGCAATTCCAGGTTCAGGGATTTGGCAACCTCTTCTGGTTCCCATGGGCACCTGCACACATGTGATATACAGACACATA